TTCTCTCCATTCCCATTCTCCCACTTATCCATCCACACATCATCCAGGAAATAATTATCAAGTGTCCAATATGAGCCAGGCTCTAGGCCAGACCCTGGGGATACAATGGGGAGAAAAACAGCCAAGTTCCCTGCCTTCACGGATAGTTTCGCAAGGGAAGGGGACACTAAACAAATCCTCACACAATAAATGTATTATAACAAACTGAGACACGTACGTGCGGTGAAGGAATTGTGAAAGGCGCTATGAGGCCAACAGAATTAGAAAACGAAAGTTTTAAAAAATTCAACCTGCAAGAGCATCAAAAATAGCTAAGAATCAGTGTAAGAAAATGTGTAAATGTGTAAAGCTTCTCTGCCGAATACTAGAAAACACTTCTGAGAGATTAAACATCTAGATAAATGGAGATATGTCATGTTCCTAAACGAGAAATAAGGCTCAATGTGATTCCAGTGTTGACAGTTCCAAATTCATCTATGGATTCAACATAGTCGCAAGCAGAACGCCAGCAGAACTTTTTTTGTAGAAACTGATTTATACAGAGATGCAAATGTCCTGAAAGAGCCGAAACAATCTTAGAAAAGGACAAAGGTAGAGGACTCAGGCTTCCCGATTCCAAGGCTTCTTATAAAACTACAGTCATCGAGACTGTGTGGAGACAGAGAAAGAAAAGACACAAGGATCGCTACAACAGGAGAAAGATTCAAGAAACAGACCCACTCAGATACAATCGACTCATTCTAAGTGAAGGTACCAAGGTCATTCAACAGGATGTGGGACTGAGGTGGGTAAGGACTTCTTAGAACATGAGAGCGCAACACATAAAAGGAAAACAAAATAAGCTAGGCTTTATCGAAATTCAAAATCGTTGTTCTTCCAGAGACCATTCTGGAAACACAAGGCATGCAGTGGGAAAAAAATACAATACTGGAATCTAACAAATGACCAGTACCTGGAACATTTAAAAAAAAAAAAAAAAAGAGGCACAATGTCAACAGTCATCAGGGAAATGAGAATTAAAACCACGAGAGACCAGGCCATGTAGTCAGAATCCCTAAAACTTAAGACTAACACCTACCAAGGGGTTGGTGCTACTGTGGACCACAGTACAGCTGGAATGCTCGTACACTGCCGGTGGGAATAACAGTGGCACAGCCACCTTGGCAAACTGGCACTTTCTTAAGAAGCTGAACAACAAGTTGACCACACAGCCTAACCAATATACTTCCAGCTATCTGCCCAAGAGAACTGAAAGCACATATTTGCATCAAGACCTAAACAACAACATACATAGCAGCTTTATTCACACCAGCCAAAAACTAAAAACCAAAAACCAAAAAACCCCAAACAAACCCAAATGTCTATCAACAGATGAATGGATAAACAAAATATGAAATATCCATGACACAGAATACCCTTCGGCAGTAGGGCTCTGAGAACATGTACCAAGGGAATCTAACTGCACCTAGGAGGTCAGGGAGGGCTTCCTTAAGGAGGAAGCAGGCATCTGAAAGGAGGCTGGGGGCTGACTGGGGAGGAGGACCGGGCCATGAGAAATAAAAAGCACCGCCGGCAGGGGCCCGGTCATGAGCCCCCGGCAGAGGGAAGGTGGCGCATTCATGGACGTGAGAGACAGTCTTGCAGCAAGGAGACAGGAGAGAGGTATTTTAGGCTGGCAGTTGGCAAGAGCCATGCCAAGCAGGCCTCATTTTTATTTTATTTTATCTTTTTAATTTATTTCTGAGAGAGAGAGAGACAGCATGAAGAGGGGAGGCTCAAAGAGAGAGGGAGACACAGAATCCAAAGCAGCTCCAGGCTCTGAGCTGTCAGCACAGAGCCCGATGCGGGGCTTAAACCCACAAACTGTGAGATCATGACCTGAGCCGAAGTCGGACGCTTAACCGACTGAGCCACCCAGGCGCCCCACGGCTTGATATTTTTAAAAGATCCCACTGACTACAGTATGGAGAACTGACTGTCAGGGGTGAGTGGCCGGGAAGGAGCTAGTCACAGCCCCTGCCGACCTCCTGGTAATAGACTCTGGCTTATGCTGAGATGGGACGATGGAGATGGGGAGAGACGGACACCTTGAACGGGCTCTGAGAAGTGTGTGGGACTGCATTCAAGGGAGAAGGAAGAAGACCCTGCTGAGACTGACTCCAAGATTCTGGCTCAGGGGATGGAATGGGAAGAGATCCTATGCCCCAACACGGAGAATGCTGGAAGAAGGCCAAACCTTTTGGGGAAGGTCAGCTCTAGACACACTCAATTTGAGGTGCCTGGGAGACATCTAAATGACAGTTTCTCTCAGGGATGTGGACATGAGGATGTGAAGGCTCACAGAAGCCCAGGATAGAGATTCAAAACTGGCTTCTATGAAGATAGTAACCGACACTATAGAAATGCATGCAACAGACTAGACAGCTACACAGGACCAGGGCAAGAGAGAGCCTAGAACCAGGTCTTAAGGGACTCGAACATTTAGAGGACGACTGGGGGCCACCGAAGAAAACTAAGTGATCCAAGCAAAGGCAGGAAAACCAGAAGAGCATAATGTATGAGAATGCACGGAAAGACAATGTTTCGAGAAGCCTATGGAAACTGTGTGGAAGGCTAATAAAATAGGAAGAAAATGTTCACTGAATTCAGTAGCATGGAGGTCACTGCTAATCTTAGGATGAGTAAATCCTCTGGGAAAACAGGGACATAACCCAGATTCGAGTGGACGGGGCCGGGGTTGTGACTGAAGAAAAAGGAAGTAGAGAAAGTGATTATACATAATTTTAGATAATGGGCCCCACTTCCTATTCTGACAAGCTGGGCTGTAATGATGATGAAAGAAAGCTGAACTTGGAAGAGATTGTGAAAGACATGGCTTTTGTGAAAGCGTAGCCCTTGAATTCGGCCTGAGAGGTTGCATTTCCTTTTCATGTGACATAGGTGGGTGTTGTGAGTCATGTGCCCAAAGTTTCCTTTATTTTGTTACCTTCATAACTACCTCGAACATGGAGAAGGGGGTTCACTGGGGCCTTGTCAACAAAGGTGACGGAGCGCAGTGACACGAGAAAGGCGCAGGCAGGGGACCGACGGGCAGAGGTAAAGCGGCAGTCCTACTCAACACCCGTGTGCAGGAAGTCTCTGCTTTGCCATTAAATCCAGATCCTCACAAATATTTGTAGAAAATCATAAAAGCAAAGTGATACAAATAAATTTGGTGGCAAGCAACAGGAAATGGTCTCTTTCTTAGTTGCCCTGTTTATCTGGGAAGTGCATGTGTGCTGGGAGAGGGAAATAAATGCCAGGATCGCACTCCTTGGTTCTAGAGGAGGGTGGAGCTGGAGAAGGAAAAAGCTGGATACGAAGATACCTGGAGCCTGGGTTCTGGGCTACAAAACAAATGCCTGCCTAACTGAATGAATGAATGAGTGAATGAGTGAGCGAACAACAGGGGACGAATATAAGTCCCAGGGAAAGAATTCTGGGAGCTGGGGTCAGGCCGCAGATGGCAAAACAGAGACCCTTCCCTACCTCAAAAGGAAAAGATCTTCTGGCTTGGTTTCCTCGGTGCGTGTATCTGTCTGGACAGGACTTTGAAGAGCTTCTAGAAGGACTACGTAGAGTGGGGGGAAATGAGGAAAGAACAAGGGTGGCTCAGAGGTGAAGCCCAGGCCACAAGGAGAGGGAACATACGAGGGGAAAGACACGGAGCCTGAGCACAACTTCCCTATAAAAAAGGGACATTGGGCCTCCTGGATCCCTGACACTCCCGCAAGTCAGATGACATGTGGGTGCCCTCAGCCTCCGGACACCTTACCAAGTGGCTCAGTCTCTCGGACGCTGCCAGCAGGCTTCCACTCATGAGTACCCACTAACTGCTAAGCACTGGCCCTTATGCTTTGTATTTCTAGCGCATCCACAGCTCACAGACACCCTGAGACGGGAGTATTCCCATCCTCACTTGACTGAAAAGGAAGCTAAAGGTCAGAAATTGATCTGCCCCACATGCACCCCCAATGTTTCTAGCAGAGCTATCAATAACAGCCAAAGTATGGAAAGAGCCCAAATGTCCATCGATGGAGGGGTGAATAAAGAAGATGTGCTATATGTACACACTGGAGTATTACTCAGCAATCAAAAAGAATGAAATCTTGCCATTTGCAACCATGTGCATGAAACTAGAGGGCATTATACTAAACAAAATTAGTCAGAGAAAGACAGATAAAGGACTTCACTCATATGAGGACTTTAAGATACAAAAGAGATGAACATAAGGGAAGCAAAAATAATACAAAAAAGCAGGGAGGGGGACAAAACGTAAGAGACTTTTAACGATAGAGAACAAACTGGAGGGGCTGTGGGGGGGGGGATGGGCTAAATGGGTGAGGGGCATTAAGGAATCTAGTCCTGAAATCATTGTTGCACTCTATGCTAACTTGGATGTAAATTAAAAAATGAATTATTTTTTTTTAAAAAGAAAAGAAAAAGACATTTATCTGCCCCAAGGTCACAATGGAGGGACTTGGCTTTGAGCCCACATCTGCATGACTCTAAAACCCACATCTGCATGATGGTATTTCCACCAGAATAAGACGCAGCCAGGCAAAACCAATCTGTCTCAATCAAGAGGGCAAAAGAGACCTGTTGCGGGCAGAGGACAGGAGACCCTGTAGGGAAAAAAAAAAATAATTGAAGGATAAAAGAAAGTAGGAAATTTCTTTTCTGAAAATGAGAAGAATTATAGAAGAAATTGCCTAGAAAAGAGAAGATAGGATCATCTGACTCGAGAAATGGGAAAATGCCTGGGATTGAGAAAAGAGTTCAGGACCTAGGGACAGAGAATCTGGGTTTGGCAGGCAGAGTGAGGCTCTCCTGGGTGGGGAATGGAGATACAGGCGGGTGCCCCATCCTTCAGGTTTGAGAGGAGACAGTGCTCAATTACCGGCCTTCCCCTCTCCAGTCACATGACTTGTGCTAGTATAAAAGCTTTCTACCAGCAGGTTCCTTACAATTTTTCTTGCTGTGTGAAATGGGCCGTTGCAGTGGCTAAAGCCCTCTTCCTCTTTCCCAGAAGCTTTCAGACTTTCCTTCAGGACTAATCCCAAGAAGCCACCTGTCTGGACTGAAGACAAGGCAAGGCAGCTGACTCAGTGCTTGCGCTATGGGCAGTGAATGCCAGGGTGTGGATTGCGGGGGGCGGGGGGTGGGGGGGGCTGATGGAAGTCTGTGAGGAGCTGGATGTAAAGCTCAGACCTGGAGACGGGAGCCAGCGTAGGTAGGATTAAGGAAACAGGCCGGGACATCAAGCCCAGAGAGAAAGAGAGGATGGAGGGGCCAGGCTGTGTGCGAGCAGCGAGGGTTACAAGCCAAATGGAAACTGAGTTGACCTCGTTAAGAGTTCTTCTGTTTACAGTCAAAACACCGGGCTCGAGCCAGCTGCTGTCTCTAAAGTCTTTTAGGGGGCAAGCCCCAAAAGTCAGTACTGGCTCACCCTTCCTCCCCTCTGCCCCTCCCTACATATCACTAGTTTCCTCTTTCCCATGCAGTCCCAGATGCGGCATAGGTCAGGAGAGGAAAAGGTGGGGGAGAATCTGTGTTCTGTAAAAGGGGAGGAAAACGAGGTAGGGAGATGGGTTGGGGGCCAGGCACCTGCTTCCTGGGCGTGTGGTGGGGTCCTGTGGTGAGCCGGCACTGAGGCGCAAGGCCCGGGTTTGTTTTCCCGGCGTGCGTGCTCCTGACAGACGGCTCACAGCTCTCTCCTCTTGAGATGCCTTTTCTCTCTGCAGGGCTCTGACTCAGGGGCCCAAGGAAAGTTGGAAACTGATAACCGTAACTTCCTGTATCTGTGAGGAGAGGAGAAAGCTAAGGGTTGGTCCCCTCCAGAGACACATGATGGCAAACGTAAGAACTACTGCTTAATACCCCGCCCCAGGCAAAGTCAATAATTGCTCTGGGCAGTTCTGGCAGGTGGTGTGAGCAAGCAGTGGAGGCAACGGAACGGTCCGGCCTGGGAAGCAGAGCGCGGCAGGGAGGATGTCCGAAGCCTGAACCAGACGAGGGTCCGGGGGCTGTGAGTGGGACCTCCTGACCCTGCCTGTTTTCACCCTCTTCCAGAGCGATCATGGCGTACTGGCGCAACTCCCTCATCCTCGCCGCGTACGTCCTCATCTTCCTCACGGGTCTCCCTGCCAACCTCCTGGCCCTGCGGGCCTTCATCGGGCGGGTCCGCCAGCCCCACCCCGCCCCCGTGCACATCCTCCTGCTCAGCCTGACGCTGGCCGACCTCCTGCTGCTGCTGCTGCTGCCCTTCAAGATGGTCGAGGCCGCCTATAACTTCCGCTGGTACCTGCCTGAGCTGCTCTGCGCCCTCACGGGCTTCGGCTTCTACAGCAGCATCTACTGCAGCACGTGGCTCCTGGCGGGCATCAGCATCGAGCGCTACCTGGGAGTGGCCTTCCCCGTGCAGTACAAGCTGTCCCGCAAGCCTGTGTACGGAGTGATTGCCGCCGTGGTCGCCTGGGTCATGTCCTTCGGTCACTGCACCATCGTCATCATTGGTCAGTACTTGAACTCAACCCAGGAGACCAGAAACACGGATGGAATCACCTGCTATGAGAACTTCACTGAGGCGCAGCTGAACGTGGTGCTTCCGGTGCGGCTGGAGCTCTGCCTCTTCCTCTTCTTCGTCCCCATGATGATCACCATCTTCTGCTACTGGCGCTTCGTGTGGATCATGCTCACCCAGCCCCACGTGGGGGCCCAGAGGCGGCGCAGAGCTGTGGGGCTGGCCGTCGTGACCCTCCTTAATTTCCTGGTGTGCTTCGGGCCTTACAACGTATCCCACCTGGTGGGGTATTACACGAGGAAAAGCCCCCCGTGGCGGGTTGAAGCCGTGGTGTTAAGTTCCCTCAATGCCAGTCTGGACCCCCTGCTCTTCTATTTCTCTTCATCAGCTGTGCGCAGAGCCTTTGGAAAAGGGCTGCAGATACTGCGACATCACGGCTCCTCCCTGATTGGACGCAGAAGCAGAGAGACAGCGGAGGGGGCGAGTGGGGACAGGGGTGTGAGTCAAGCCGAGGGAGCACCAAGTTCCGACTTCACCACAGAATAGGGGTGTCCTGGACCTTTGGAGGCACTCTGGGTTACCTAGGAGTTGAGCAGACTGGGAGAGGGGGAGAATGGGGGTTCCTAGCTCAGGGTCAGGAATCCTCAGCCCTGACCCACTATGGGGGCTGTGAAAACCTCTCTCAGCACCTTGGTGTCCCCTCCTGACTGAAGTTTCCTGCCCAAAGGAGCACAGCTCCGTGACAAAAAGAAGAAATGGTTTGACACAGAAGCACCATCAGACCAGGGTCTCGGAAGCAACATAACTAACACAAATCCGGTCCCTGTGAGGTCACTGGTAGCCGGGGATGACCGGGCTCAAGCTGAGTCCCTCAAGCAATCTTGCTATAAGCTCTGAAACAACACCTAGACGCCGGTCTAGCTGTTGATACTGGAAAGAAGCCAACGAGAAAGAGGTGGAAGGGAACACGAAATGAGGTCAAAGAAGACTCAGGAAGGTTATGAGCCAAGTGTGTGGGGGGGAATTAAGAGGGAGGACTGGGGACTTAGACCTCTGACGGTCTGGGTTTGCACTATTATCGCTTCAACCTGCTGCCTTGTAAGTATGCTCCAGTCGCCTTCATGTGTGTAACTTGTCTCCCTGCGTTGAACCTGCCGGAGGTCTGGGTCTCGTCTTCTCCCTCCGTGGTGCCCCACACAGGTCAGGACACAGCCTGGCACCCATCAGTCAGAGGTCAACACTGGCGAGGTCAGGAGTAGACAACCTGGCCTGGCAGATTGAAAATAAAGACGGTAAAACTCTGAAGTGAGCGTCCACACTTTCTCTGCAAGGCCGGGCCGGTGAAAACGCAATGAAGCAGCAGAGTCAGCAGCACGGCGGGCAGGGGCTGCGTGGGAAACCACAGAAGTGCCTGAGGGGCGGGATGTAATGAGTAGAGTGAGTGACGGGGCTGGGGGGATCCTGTTTTAGACTGATGCGTGGAGACGGGACCTAGAAAGAGGAGGTGAGGCGGATCCTGACTTAACGTTATGAGGTGCATCTCAGGGGCCTAAAGCACGTGGCCCTCCGGCCTAGAAGCCTGCAGTTTTCCTATGGTCACAAGTTTTCCTCCCAGAACTCCTATCCCGTCATTCCATTACCTACTTTGTACCCTCTCTCCCAGCCCGGCCCCACCTTCTTAACTCATCTCTCCCCAAGAAGGAGCCCTGGCCCGCTCACTCTGGTTAACTGATCCCAGCCCCAGCCTAGTGGTCTGCAACATCAGAATTGCATGAAGAGGTACAAAAATAGTACATATGGCTGCCCCCTCCCCCAATCTCCTGACACTTTTGGGGGGGAGGGAAGATGAGCCTGCAAAAGCCCCCCAGTGATTACACTAGGCACCACCTCGGGAAAGGAATCGCTGGCCTGGCTCAGGGGCCCAATCTGTCCAAGAAAATACTCTTCGAAGAGACTCTTCCTGTTTCTAAGACCCTCTCACCACAACCCCATGCTCACTCATCTTCTGATTGCTCACTTTTTCCACTGTTCTATGCGATTTTTTAATGTTTTATTTATTTCTGAGAGGGAGAGAGACAGCGTGAGCAGAGGAGGGTCAGAGAGAGAGGGAGACACAGAATGGGAAGCAGGCTCCAGGATCCGAGCCAGCTGTCAGCACAGAGCCCGACGCAGGACTCGAACTCACGAACCGTGAGATCATGACCCGAGCCGAAGTCGGATGCTTAACCGACTGAGCCACCCAGGTACCCCTTTTTCCACTGTTCTAAAACCTCACTCAAAATTCACTTTCTCCAGAAAGACTTCCCTTCTAATTCCCACCCAACTGAGCTCAATTTCTGTTTTCCTTCCTCAAACACCACTGGACTGGTGAACAGGCTTCACTGTTGCTTCTGCTTACTAGCTGGCCTTAGGCGAGTCCTGACCTCCAGCCTCCCTTTCCAAACCATAATCATGAGGACGATGTATGTATGCCTCCCAGGGCTATTCTGAAATTTCCATGAGACTGTGTATATAAAGTTGCCGAGAAATTTTACAGTAACACTTAGCTCTAAGACACCAAACCAAACGAAACACCAATATACCCCAACTTAAAAGAAATAAGCTAAGTAAAAATTTGAAATGATGAAAATCATATGTTAGATAGGCAACCATATAGGATGGTTTAACAGTAATGTGTGAGAAAAAAAAGTCTGGCATTTTCTGCTGACTATACATCTGGGATGTATTATACCTTCCAAAAAAGCTGATTTGATTTTGGGTGGCATTAAAAGAAATAGAATCTAAATAAGTCAAGGCTAATCCCATTTCACTGAGGTCTTAATCAGTAGCATGTTCAGCACCTGGACAGCACAGGTTTTTGTTTTGATTTTTTTTTTCAAGACATTAACTCAGGAGCGCCTGGCTGGCTCAGTCAGTAGAGCATGAGACTCTTGATCTTGGGGTTGTGAGTTTGAGCCCCATACTAGGTATAGAGATTACATAAAAATGAAAAAATTTTTTTAAAGAAGACATTATCTCAAGGACTCAAGCCCATAAAAATTAACCAAAATGTTTTGGAGATTTGAAACCATATGACGGTGATGATTGATGACTGAATAAATGCCTGGCACTGTTCCAGAGAAGTAGCCTAAGAAGATGGAGGGAATTTTCGAAGGTCAACAAGTGAAAGTGAGTTTAAATCCAGGTCTGCCTTTTTTCATTGACTCAAGAGAAGCAAGTAAGGGAATGTTGAATATGTGGCTGAACCAAGTAAGGTGCAGCTCATGGAAGATGCATTCTATGTAGCTCCACGGGGAAGATCATAGGCAGAAGAGGCAGGGAGCTGCATCTCAAACAGTCAGGGCTGTTTAAAATGTAACTGAGCTTGGGGCATCTGGGTGGCTCAGTCAGTTAAGCAGCCGACTTCAGCTCAGGTCATGACCTCACAGTTTGTGAGTTTGAGCCCCATGTCAGGCTCTGTGCTTGCAGCCTGGAGCCTGGAACCTACTTTGGATTCTGTCTCCCTCTCTCTCTGCCCCTCTCCCATTCATGCTCTGGCTCCCTCTCTCTCTCAAAAATAAATAAACATTAAAAACAATTTTTTTTTACTGGAATTGAGCTAACTCAACAAGGTAGTCACTCCCCAGTTCCAGGAATAGTGAAGCGGAAGATAGAAAATACCTATCCTGGGACATTGAGGAAACTGACACACCTGATAAGAGCTGAACCAGTTAAGTGCCAAACCCCTTCCTGCTCGAAGATTCCTAAGGTTTCAGGGACATGGCTGCTCTTGCCAATCACAGAAGTGCAAGAAAATCTCTGGTCTGAGATTTTCAGGGTGAATCTTTTGCTACTCACTAACAAGTATTTGATCTGCATGAAGTCATTTGATATACGGCCCAGTTCTTCCCTGGGAAATTAATAGTTCGTTTGTTCAACAAATATGTGTGGGTCACCTACTATAAGCCAGATCCTTTTCCGAGGGCTGCAGATGCAGAGCACAGAAGAGACAAGGTACCTGACCTCTTGGGGTTTCCATTCCAGTGGGGAAAAATAGTTAATAAGCAAGTAAACAAATAAGCAAGGAAACTTCAAAATGTGGCAACTGGTTTGTAGAACTGGACTAAAATAGGGATGTGGGAGAAAGTGTAACGAGAGGTTAAGGGAGTTTAGAAGATTCTCCTGAGTCAGTGATGTTCAGCTGAGAACTGAATGAATATAAGGAACTGTCATACAAAGGCCCATGGGAAGAGCATTCTAGAAATAGGAATTGCTGATGGAAAGGGAAGGAGGAGGGAGAAAACCTTATCTTCTCAAAGGCTGAGAGAGGGCCAGTGAGGGGCAATGGTCTGCAAACGTAGGCATGTATTAGAATCATGTGGAAAGTCTGCCAAAGCGCAGATTACTGTCTTAACCTCCCAAAAGTTTCAGAATCAGTACGTCTGGGATGGGACCCAAGAGTCTGTACCTCCAACATCCCAGGTGACATTGATGTTGGTGGTCAGTGACCACCACTGGGGGAACCACTGGGCTGGACTACAGTGACCTGGGGAGAGAGCCACACGAGATGAAGTCAAGGAGTCAGCAGGGACTAGGCCATGCAAATCTTTTAGGCCACAAATAGGAGTCTGAATTTATTCTAAGAGCTTTGGAAAGCCATTTAAGGGTTCTCAGCAAGAGAGCAAATGGTCTGATTTCCATTTTAAGACAATCACTCTGATATCTGTGCCTACCACGGAAGGGAGACAGTTGTTACGATCAGGGAGATAATGCACAGGACAGAGCTAAGAACCGTAACATACTACGGTGAGGATGCAGGGTTTTCACTAGACAGGTAGCTCCTTGGAAGTGGGGACTGTGTCTTCCATTAGAATTGGCTGTCCAAGTGCCAAGTAGCCAGGAGGAGGCCCCGACAAGTTATCGTGCATCTACTTGACAAATGGATGTGCCTCGTGTGGGCTAGAAAATGTTTCAAACCACGAGTTTGGGGGATTGGTTGGGGGTAACCAGAGCAGGGTGGAGGGTGGTGAACCCCTGATTTGTAGCACTTGCCAATTTCTATTGGGCTGATTTCTACCAACATGAAGATGCTGAACGCGGGGTCTGGCAAGTGATGCTCGTTAGAGCAGTTCTTGCAGGCCGGCTCAAGCTCATCCCCGGCTACACCCCCCAGCACATACACTCAACCAGCAGACCGATCACGTCCTACTGGAGAAAACATTCTCTCTCCCTGGCTACACCTAGTGCAGGGCTCTGGCACGGGGACTTTTGACATAATAAACACCAGCTAAATGTGGCCGGCTGGGCCTGACCCAAGAGGATCCGGGTGGCTGGTTAGATTGTGAGACTCCCCTGATTCCCCTGTAGGATGACAGATGGGTAAACAGAAATGTTAGTGCCCGGTTAATGAATAACACGGACAGCAGCCTAGGGCTGCTACCAGGAAACAGGGGTGGAGGCTGCTGGCTCAGCCTGACCAGGGGGGACTGGCCAGCAGGAAAGGGGAACCCGGCATTGACTATTTCACTTCCTCTTTCTGGAAAAGATGCTGTTGTGCCCCTTCCTCGGAAATTCTCATCTGACCACACAGCCGGAGCTGTGGGATTTTGTGGGTGATCACTGCGGCCCAAGGAGGCAGGGGAGGGCCGCTGGAGAGGGTCTGAAGGAAAACACACAGCAAGGTTCCACTACTCCTTTAAACTCGCCTGCCCTTCGCTCCAGGTTGCTGTCAGTTCTCTTTTTTTTTTTTTTTTTCAGTTTTCTCTACCTCCTGCGGTTAAATACCTTTGCCCCATTTTTTTCCCTTTTCATTATTTTTCTCTAGTCACAGGAAATGAGGACATTTCTCATCTACAAATTGCACATTCAACCAGGAAATTGGGCCAAAGAGCTCTAAGTCCTCCGCGGTGGCTGCCCAGTAACCCACTTGGCAAAGGTTTGAAGGTCTGCAGAGGCAGAGGATGGGAGGTCCGGTGGGGGCGGGGGGAGGGGAGCCACGGTCAGCTGCAGCCCTAACCGAGGAGGGCTGCCCGCAGCTCTGGTATAATTCTCCCCGGCCGTTGCCATCTGGCAGGCCGAACCACAATCCGCCTCGAGGAGACGGCGTTAGGAAAGTAAATACACTACTTTCAAATCCAGATGTTTGAAAAAGCCAGTAGGCGCGTACAGTGGTCTAGGGTCCCTAAAATGCCGCAACAGACGTTACATCATTCGACTTTCCACGAGTGTAGGCACTTGTCAATCCACAAATGTTTACTGAGGCCTACTATGCATCGGGCCCTGTTCCAGGTGCTAAAAACACAGCAGTGAACAAGGGCAAGATCCCT